GAAGCGTTCCGGAGATGGAGGCATTTATTGATTGGTGCACAACATAAGGTGCAAGTGTGCACAGACCACAAGAATTTAGAGTATTGGAGAACAGCACGAGTGCTCAACCAACGACAAGTGAGATGGGCCGAGGAGTTCTCCAAATTCCACTTTGAAATTTGTTACGTGCCAGGCCCAGAAAACGTCAGGGCGGACGCTCTCTCACGCAAACCTGAGTATTGGGAGGGGGAGGGGGCAACTGAAGAGAGACATGTCATCCCAGAGGACCGCTGGGTGTGTGGGGCGGCACTGGTGGGGCAAAGAGAACTGGTAGAGGAAACGGAGAATGATGAATACGCCCAGGATAAGCTCAGAGGTCTCAGGGGGGAGGGAGAGAGCTCCGGAGGCTTTGAGGAAAGAAATGGAGCATTGTATTACAAGGGGGCACTGTATATACCCGAAGGAGAATTGAGGGGGAGAGTACTCAAGCAGCTGCACGACAGCCCCACAGCGGGGCATTTTGGGCAAAACAAGACCATGTGGTTGGTTACCAGGGAATTTTGGTGGCCTAAGGTGAGGGAAGATGTAAGGGAGTATGTAAGAGGGTGTGACCAATGCCAGCGAGCTAAAGGGGAAAGGCGGGCGCCGGCAGGGTTATTAGAACCCTTACCCACCCCCGAATGGCCATGGGAGGCGGTATCGATAGATTTCATGACGGATCTGCCGAAGTCCAAGGGGAAAACAGCCATCATGGTAGTAGTAGACCTGTTAACTAAGATGTGCCACTTTGTAGCATGCTCACATGCAGTCACAGCGGAAGAGACAGCGAAATTGTTTGTAGAACACATTTTTCGGTTGCATGGCGCCCCCTTGAGGGTGGTCTCAGACAGAGGCAAACAATTTACATCCAGGTTCTGGAGGAAGCTCATGAGCTTACTGCACGTGGAGGTCAATTTTTCGACTGCCCGGCACCCTGAAACCAACGGGCAGGCGGAAAGAGCAAACGGTATCCTCCAGCAGTACCTGAGGTGTTATGTCAATGACAGAGAGAACGATTGGGTCGAAAAGTTGGTGCTGGCAGAGTTTGCCTACAATAATGCGGAGAATGTGTCTACAGGGATGAGCCCCTTTTTGGCCAATTATGGGTGTCACCCCAGGGCATTTCCAGGGGGAGGAGGGGAGAGATGGAGCGTCCCGGCGGCCGAACTTTTTGTAGAAGAGATGGAAGCGATCCATCGTCAGCTCCAGCTCAACTTAGAAAGGGCCAAAGAAGAATATAAGAGGCAGGCAGACAAGAACAGAAGGGAAGGTGAAGCCGTAAGGGTGGGGGATCAGGTGTGGCTGTCAACCCAAGGCTTGCCGTTTAAAGGGGGTTGCAAGAAGTTGAGACCCAAAAGGTTGGGACCCTTTGAGGTCATTCAGCAGGTCAACCCAGTGGCTTTCAAACTCCGGTTACCCAACCACATGAAATTGCACCCAGTATTCCATAGGTCCTTCTGTCACCATATAGGGGGGGACGTGAAGGGGAATCCACCAGGGGACCTGCCTTAGAAGAAAGGGAACGCAGCAGCCATGTTGCGGAAATCATCGATTCCAGGTGGAAGGGGAATCAGGTGGAGTATTTGGTGGCGTGGGAAGGGGAACCGGAGTCAGAAAACACCTGGGTAACTGCAGAGGATGTCAATGACGAGGTCTTAATAGAAACGTTCCACCAAAGGTTCCCGAGGAAACCTCAGCCTGTAGCAAGGTTCAGGAGGGAGTACTTCGGCACCACCGACGAGGAGGAGGAACTGGAAGGATTCACGGAATCGGAGCTGGAAGAAGGAATTGACTCCGATGACGAGGAGTACTTGGGGACCAGGAACAGCAACCAGTGGAGGGAAGTGTTCGAGACTTCGGAAGATGAGGGAGGTTCTTTCAGGGGCTTTGCTTCCTCACCGCCCATAGAGCAGGGGACGGGAGGGGGTGAAGGGGGCCCTGGAGGGGAGGTGGATGTCAGGGAACTGCCATCGGAAGGACAGGAGGTGGAAGGGCTCCCTGAGGTTGAGACAGACTTAGCAGCTGAAGAGGGAACCAGCAGGGGGAGAGGAGGGGCTCCAGGGGAAAGTGAGTCGGAGGGATGGCTCAGAGACACTTCCAGCGAAAACAGTGGGGAGGTTTCAAGACCTCCTATAGGGACACCCACTCCTCGCCGGAAACTGTCATGCCGAGAGTCCAGAAGACGTGTTTCCGTTAAGGAGCTTTTATGCTGGAAGAGATTCCGTAAGAGACCACTTTCGGATTCTGCTAGCGACTGACGGAGCCATGCTGGAGGGGCTCCGTCGTAGGCAGAGGTTTGAGGACTTGACCAAACTCTGAGGGACTTGCATTTTACGCACAAGCAGCTCATCATCCCATTACACTTGCTTAGTTATTTTACATATTTCTTGTATAGCTGTTCTCCAGAATAGTTGGATTTTGGGACACTCCCACCACATGTGGAGGTATGTGCCTGTGGAGGTGCACCCTCCCCAGCATTTTGGTGAGGTTCCTGGGCGTATTAGCGCTAGTTTTCTTGGTGTTAGGTACCACCTGCAGGTGAGTTTCAGAGTGAGTTCTTTTCTTTTCGTTGATATGGATTTAAAGGGGGATTTAGACCATATTCTGCTCCATTGAGTGGGGTTAATATCATAGCATGTCATTCCCCCATTGTTTTTTGATAGCGTCTAGGGGGGTTGTGGGATTTTGGAGTAGTATTTTGTATATTGCGGGTACCATCCCTTTACCATGTCCCTTTGTTGTTAGGAGGAGGTTTTTGAAGGTTGTCAGGGCCTAGTTGCTGCTTATTTTACTGTTGGGTTGTTTAACAGGGCATGTAATTGGTGTTGTGTTAACCAGGGCATTTGGGTGTCTTCTAGTTTGTCTTGTATTTCTTCTGTTGACAAAGGTTTGTTATTTTTATAAAAGTGTATTAGGCGATATAAGCCTTTGGTTTGCCATGTTTTTATCTGGAGGTTTTGTGCTGCATGGTGGAATAATGGGTGGTACGCCAGGGGAATTAGTGGGGATGGGGTTGGGGATAGTTTGCCTATTTCTGTTTTCCATGCTTTGAGCATGGTCTGTGTGTACCTGTTAAGTGTTGTGGGAATTTTCTTTAGTTTGTTTGGGAGGAGTGGGTATGCTGTGGTGCAGGTGTTTTCAATTGTGTCCCTCTCTAGGTGTACCCATTGTTTTCTCTCATTTTCGAGTATATATGGAATTATATGGCGTATTTGGTTGGCAATGCAATATGCTTCTATGTTGGGGATTCCCCATCCTCCTTCTGAGGTGGGGAGGTGCAGGTATTTGGGGCTTATTCTTGTTTTTTATGTGAGAAGATGAAAGAGTGTAGTTTTCTCTGCCAACTGCGGAGTTGGGTTGGGGGAATCCAGACTGGGGGGGGTGGGTTGGAATAGGTAGGTTAGGTTTTTTTTGGGGGGGGGTCATTTTGAACATGGCTATTTTGTCTGAGAGAGTGAAATTCATGTTTTTCCATCTCTTTAGGTCTTTGTTAATTTGTCGCCACAGGGGCTTGTAGTTGTGGAGGTACAATTTATTGAGGTTTCTGGTTATTTGTACCCCTAGGTATCTGAACTTGGTGTGGCAAAGTTTTATTTTGGTGACCTTCGTGAGTTCTTTTTGGGTGTGAGGAGGGGTGTTGAAGCACATAGCTTCTGACTTTGTGAAATTTACCTGTAGGCCCGACACCATTGCAAATGTGTTGCGTTCTCTGATTAGGGAGGTTGCTGTGCTTATGGGGTCTGGTGTTGTGACCATTAGGTCGTCTGCAAAGAGCCCTCATTTACAGGTTCTGCCTTTTATTTCCACTCCTTTGATGTCTGTGGCCGCTCGGATGCGGATTGCTAAGTGTTCCAGAGCCAGTGATCACATGCTAGAAACACTTGTTTGTTTTCAAGCATGGGGAGGAACTTGAGGTTTTAAAACTTTTAATTCCCCTCAGGTGGTTTTGCACCTGCCATGCAATAGACTTCCTCTTTTAACCAACTGTTTGCAAGCTGGAATCTGCTTGTGGTTTTGCAATAAAAAACCCTGTGTGGTTGCAGGGCTGTGAACTGCATGCTTTGTGTGCACTCATTTTATCTCAAGACTGTGAGCAACTTGAGTTCAGCTGCGGTCGAGGTGCTTGACTGAAGCCAGACCCTGGCACAAAGCACAGCTTTGGAGAAGGACCACACAGACAGACTATATCTATGATTTGTGTCTATTGGAGCTTCCACAAGGGGGCTGTTTTGGGGTATAATTCAGTCACATTCCTGCAAATTCAGGTTGCACCATTAAAGTTGTTGTTGTCAACAACAACAACAACAACCCCTTTGTCTGTTTGCAGTAAGGAAACTGACATAGAAATGCACTGGAAAGTGTGGGGTAAAGATTGCTTGGTGCAATATCATATAACATTCCCTGAAAAGAAATTGGAAGGAATTCTCATGGAATCTAACTTCCCCACAGACTTTGTGCAAACAAATCCATGGGGTCACGAAGAGTTGGACACGACTAAACGACAAAAATAATTACCATTTCTAGAAGAACCATTAGCACTCAGCTTACTAGTTACTTGAAAAGGCAAATTCAATACTAGCTGCTATGTAATTTATTAAGTTCCTATTACTTTGATCAGAATTGATTTTGACTGAATCGTGAGGTGCGGTTATTGGAGTAGTTTGCTGTTACCCCGACACTGTATCTCAAGGGAAACGTTTTAGAAGGGCAGGCACATTGTCATCAGTATAAATCATTAACAACTGCTCCTCTTATTATTAATCTTATTTGTCATTATTGAATTGCTAATTATTAAATTATTAGTCGTCATTACAGTATTAACTTGTCATAAGTTTTTTTATTTTAGCACTTGCATCAGGAACATAGCTGTCAACTTTCCCTTTTCTTGCAAGGAATCCCATTCGGGATAAGGGAATTTCTCTTTTAAAAAGGGGAAACGTTGACAGCTATGATCAGGAACATAGTTTCCCGCCTTCGCTTACCTCCACACATGTAACATTCTTGTTTTATGCTGTCTTGTTACATTTTGCATTTCTTTCCCAAAGGACAGCTCTGTTGCAGAGGGATCGTAGCCACGCCCCAGACTCGGAAGGGCGCCCAGCTGCGTTCAGTTTGCCAGGTAAGTTTGAGCAGTGTTCCCCAACCTTGGGCCTCCAGCTGTTTTTGGACTACAACTCCCATCAAGACCAGTGGTCAAGGATGATGGGAATTGTAGTCCAAAAACAGCTGGAGGCCCAAGGTTGGGGAACACTGAGTTAGAGGACCCAACAGTAAGTCTACAGGGCTTACTTCCGAGTAGACCCGCTTCGGCTCGCGCTGTCCGTCTCCTGCAGGAAAGGCAGCCCAGGTCCCTCCTGCCTCCGCCAACTTGGTGCCCGCCAGATGTGGCAGGGCTGCGGCGGCCAGGGGTCATCCAGCCCGACCCCCGAGTCAGGTGGTCCTGCAAGCTCTGCTCCAAGGAAGGAGCAGAGTCTGCTCAATATTCTTTTAATACACACAATTCAGAGATGCAATTAAACGGTTTAATATATTTAATCATTAGACCAGCGCAACCCACAAGCAGATGTTCACACGGTTGCTAGAAGAAGAGCGAAGGGGAAGCAGCGCGTGCCGCGCGAGGGGACTTGCTCGCGAGTAGGCGCGCCTCCTCCCAGAGCGAACCCGCAAGCGCCTCATCCCGCCAGCCGGACGGGCCCATCTCGCCGTTGCGTCTCTCTATGGCGCAGCGCGGCCCGCCGCTTTCCGGCCCGGCTCGGGCTCCGTCGTGACCGCGGGGAGATGGCTTTACGGCAGCCGTAAGTGAGGGCGTTGGGCGCGCGACGGAAGCTGGCCGTGGCGGCGGAGGGGCTCCGGCTCTGCCCGTGAGAGAGGAGCGGGGCGGGATGGGGGGGGTGGAATTGGCGGCGGAGGCCCCAGGGGTCATCTAGCCCACCCCCGCCCGCCCGCCCGCCCGGGGAGACTCCTCCGAGGCGCGGCGGCCTCGGGAGGGGCTCTTGCCAGAGCCGCTCCGGGCGGGGGTGGACTAGACGGCCCTGGGAGCCCCGAGGCTCTGCGCTCCCGCTTCCCGGGCTGGGCGGGTGCGAAGGCGACTCCAGGGGACTCTGCAAGCCCAAAGGATAAACTAGGGTGGCCTTAGTTTTGAAAAAGGAAGGGCTACAAAAACAGTGTGGCGAACAAAAAACACACCTTCCATGTCCGGGGGGGGTGTTCTTTAAAAAGACATGGTTTTTTAGAGAGGGAGGTGTGATGGGTTGCCCTCCCGGATAGCATGAAATGAGGGCGTTGGGGTGTGACTTGAGTTAGTTTTCAGAGGAAAAGGGCCTTGGAGAATTGGTGTAGATCCCAGGGAGGCTTAAAGGCCTGTCCTTCTGTGTATTAGATTGCAAAACAGCAATCTGCATGAAGATAATTACCACGGCTGCTTGAAGTCACAGTAACTTTAACCTTGTTGCCACACAGATCAAGTGTCTGTCCTTTTTTAAACCAAGTACATGGGCCCATTGTTCATCACAATGGTCACCTTATGTATGGAACCAGGGAGTTGGTCCCATGCAAGTGCTCCTGATGAATAAGGGGCAGATCCTGTGAAACACAGTCGGTGAGACTTCACTCCCTAAAGAGCACCCCTGGGTGGCAGTTTGGAGTGGGAGACCAGCTGGAATTTGAGCAGAGGCAAAGGTTAAGAGGGGGGTGAAGGGAAGGAATGACTGACCTGGCTGGAATTTGATGGAGGCTGAAAGGCTGTGGAAGGAAAGTGGGCGCCTGTCTTGATGAGGAGCCCCCTCACCAGCCCTGTGTATGTTCTCTTTCCTCCCACCTCTAGACTGGCCAGTTCGAGTTGCGAGATGAGGCCGCAGCAGCCGCCTGTTGCCAGCAAGGTCTTTGTCCAGCGGGACTACAGCAGTGGCACCAAATGCCAGTTCCAGACCAAGTTTCCTCCAGAATTGGAGAATCGAGTAAGGGCTCCGTGCTTTCGTCGTCCCTTGCAGTCTGACACAAGTGGGGGAGAGTTGGGTTACACCCAAGTTGACATATCCAAAGTTGATAGAAAGGGCGACTTTTCCACAGTAATGTTCATGATCCCAGTTTAAGTAATAATATAAAAACTGGAACATTCAAATTTATAAAATTAAAGGTGCACAGCAGCTAAAAGCAACCAATACAAACTTAGGTTTTGAAGTTTTGATGAAAATATACAAAGAAAAAGCAGCAATATTAAAAGCTAGGAAAACTAATTTTCCCTTCCTTTGGGAGTCCTAAAAAGCATTCTTATTCTTGTTTGGAACACAGAAGTATTTTTACACACCCGTTAACTACACACTTCATTTTTTTTAAAAAAATGCCTCAAATTGGACCCACCAATTCCCGGTCAGAGTCTAGGATATCAGCTGTGTATGGTCTTTGGAGGGGTGGCAATCTGCCTTACTGTTTTTGTTTGCTTTCTAAAGTTCTGGCTGGCAAACAGGGACCAGATTTTAAATTAAGTGTGGGTGAAAGGGTCAGCGCTGCTGCCTGTGCCCAGATTTTCTCCTGCTGAATCTTTTTCTGCTCTTTTTGGAAGGATTCCAAGAGAGAGAGGGAGTCAGACAGGCAAAGTCCTATCTCAGGACCAGGGTGATCTACCATCAGCTTTCCTGTGGAGAGGATCCTAGTCCCTTTTTTCTTTTGATTTTTAAATTTTTGTTTTAATTTTACTTGTAGTTTGGAACGATTGTATCCTGAAAGGCAGGAGAGAGAAATAGATAGATAGATAGATAGATAGATAGATAGATAGATAGATAGATAATTGTAACCATATGTAAATAAGTACTAGTATGAAATCAACATTTCTTTTATTTATGTTATCCCTCAATGCACGTCAGCTACAGATGTGTGCAAAGTCCAAGTGATTGTGCATGGCTGAGGGCATAAACTCCTTATGTCCTTATCCTGGTGACAGTTTACATTGCTGTTACTGGACGGGGAAGGTATTAAAAAGGCTGCGGCTCAGTATAGAAGGAGGTGCCTGAAGTGTGTGATAAAGGGTTATATCCTTGGAAATAAGCGCTATAGTGAACTGCTCTGTGAAAAACCCTTGTAGTCCAGTTTTGCCGCTGGCTTTCAATTGCCAATTCCTTTGCTCAAAAACTAAGTGTCATTATACAGTCATACCTCGGGTTATAGATACTTCGGGTTGTGTGATTTTGAGTTGTGCACCGCGCCGAACCCAGAAGTACCGGAACGGGTTACTTCCGGGTTTCGGCACATGCTAAATTGCGCTTTGCGCATGTGCAGAAGTGCCGAATCGCGACCTGCGCATGCGCAGATGCAGCGCTGCAGGTTGCGAACGTGATTCCCGCATGGATCACGTTCGCAACCCGAGTGTCCACTGTATTGGCCTTTTATTTGCAATTACTAGAGACCAACCTTTCATGGGCTGTAAGTTTCTAGTATCAAAATAAACTTGGGCTGTCTAGTGAAAACCCAAGATCATGAACATCTTTGTGTTTTCTCTATTGATTGTCACTTCCTGTGTATAAGTTTTGCTGAACTTGTAGATCCAGCTGCACACTCAAGCCCAGGCAGTTAAAAGCAGCTGAGTTGTTCTTGAGTCACGTTATGTATGTGGAAGTTCTCTAGGTTACTTAGTGTGCCTAACAGTGACGTCGTATCTTCTCATTGGATTCTGTTTGTATTCTTGGATGTTGGTTCACATTCTGCATTTGGAGAGTTGCCTAAAAGCCTGCATGCTTAAGGTTAACTTAGCAAAATAGTGCATGGGGATGAAACTTGAAGTTTCAGCAATGGAAAATAAAGAATACAACTCCCTGCTAGACCAGATGTTTTGGGACTACAACTCCCATCATCCCTGACCACTGGTCCTGTTAGCTAGGGATGATGGGATTTGTAGTCCCAAAACATCTGGAGGGCCGAGTTTGCCTATGCCTGGTTTAGATGATCACCCATCACATGTTCCAAACTGAAGCAAGCAAGCAGGGGAAAGTGAAAGGGTGAAGGCACAACTCTGGAAGACCACCCAATGGTCGTCCCCGGCCCCCATCACATTAACCTCAAAGTGGCTTTTTCTTCTCAGCACAGTGGACATTGTAGTCTATTCCAACAGTACAGTCATACCTTGAGTTAAATGTGCTTCAGGTTGAGCATTTTCAGGTTACGCTCCGCGGTGACCCGGAAGTAACGAAGTGTGTTACTTCCGGGTTTCGCCGCATGCGCAGACTCTATAAATGACGTCATGCACGGAAGCGGCGAATCGCAACCCGTGCAGACGCGGGTTGCATTTGCTTCAGGATGTGAACGGGGCTCCGGAATGGATCCCGTTCGCATCCAGAGGTACCACTGTATTGTCCTGATCTTGAAGAGTTGAGGGTGTGTTCATAGAGCAGTGACACGGCAAGGGCACCACCTTCAATGAGCTTAGTTAGGTGAGACTTGAACAGGGGCTTTTAACTTACTACATGTATACAATTGTACCTCAGAAGTCAAACGGAATCTTTTCCGGAAGTCCGTTCAACTTCCAAAACGTTTGAAAACCAAAGTGCGGCTTCTGATTAGGAAGCCACGGAAACCCTGTCAGACGTTTGGCTTCCAAAAATAGTTCGCAAATCAAAACAGTCATTTCCGGGTTTGCTGTGTTCTGGAGCCAGAACGTTTGGTAACTAAGCTGTTCAAAAACCAAGGTACTACGGTACTGTCTTTCCTCCAGAAACTTACAACAGTGTTTTAACCTGACAAGAATCCAAGGAGTCGTCTGAAACTGCAAGAGCATCTTGCCCAAGGCGACCCAATAGCTTAATCCTATGCACATTTCCTTGGAAGTTTGGCTGAGTTCAAATGGGGATACTTACAAATAAGCGTGTGACAGATTGCAGCCTGAGCCTTGGCTTCCTGCAACTAAACGCCAAATGGTACCAGCTCAGAAGTTAAACAAAAGGAGTCAGCGACTTAGTCCAGTTTTGATGCTGTCATCCTTAATGGTGGTGATAATAATGAAGCCATTGTCTTCCACAGTGATATCACTGCCCCTACTGCCATTTGAATTCAGTGCTTCTTTAATTTTGTTTTGTTAGTTGGTTTGTATCCAAAATGGATTTAAAAGAAATTCATTTTCCAAGCCTTTTAGTGGACCTGTGCAGAGATTGTCTGAGGCCTGTTGTGGGAGTCTCCAGTCGGCTGGGAGACATGGGGTGTTCTTCACATGACAGTGTAAGTCCGGCAGGCTCATGGTGGGAGCCCCAGGTCAGCTTAGCCCTCCAGTCGCCAGAGCAAGTATAGCTGGCTGCCCCTCCCCGCTGCACAGGCCTGCCAATTAGTACAGTGATACCTCGGGTTACATACGCTTCAGGTTACACACTCCGCTAACCCAGAAATAGTGCTTCAGGTTAAGAACTTTGCTTCGGGATAAGAACAGAAATCGTGCTCTGGCGGCGCAGCAGCAGGAGGCCCCATTAGCTAAAGTGGTGCTTCAGGTTAAGAACAGTTTCAGGTTAAGAACGGACCTCCGGAACGAATTAAGTACTTAACCTGAGGTACCACTGTATACTGCATGCAAATACTTTTTAAAGAATGCTGTTTGGGCCTGTATATAAGCTGACGTCTCCACTGGAAAACATTCACCTCTAGAAACAAAGGTTTACCTGTTACTTAGCTATCACTGCAGAGAAAACCATATATGCATTGGAGTTTGCTACGTGAACCAGGTTGAATGCCTTCTGCTAAATGTGATGCCTTTTTTCAGGTCGACAGGCAGCAGTTTGAAGAAACAGTGCGAACTCTAAACAATCTTTATGCAGAAGCAGAGAAGCTTGGGAGCCAATCTTACCTTGAAGGGTGCCTGGCCTGCTTGACTGCCTACACTATATTCTTGTGCATGGAAACACATTATGAAAAGGTACATTGAGTTACTGTGACCTCTGGAAAGGGCAGGGTGCAACATGGGCAAAGTGGAGTTGTCAATGGCAGAAAGTAATTCCACAAAAACAGGCACGTTAGTCTCTTGCAGCAATGAAGTCCAGTGGCACCATTCTGTCCCCAGGAATAAACTTTGCTCTCACTTTCTGGTAAGAGTTAAGGGTGCTTGCCTGCCTGCCTGCCTTTAACAAAGGAAAGCACTGGGAAACAGCAGCAGTTCCCTCTGCTAGTTGGCTTTCTGGCCCCAGCTGAATTTTCAGGATAGTTTTCATAAATGCTTCTGTTTCTGAGATTATGTAATCTGGATTTGGTGCCTTTGTTACTTGCTTTTTGAGGTTACTCAGAATGCATTTATAATATATTGGCATTCAATAAAGGACACTCAAGGTATTTAGATCCAACCACAGTAAATATCCAAGTTGACTTTTAAAGTTTGCTGTGCTTGACTTAGAATAAAAGCACCCTTTCCAAAGACCATAAAAGGTAAAGGGACCCCTGACCGTTAGTTCTAGTCGTGACCGACTCTGGGGGTTGTGGAGCTCATCTCGCTTTATTGGCCGAGGGAGCCAGCATACAGCTTCCGGGTCATGTGGCCAGCATGACTAAGCTGCTTCTGGCGAACCAGAGCAACACACGGAAACACCGTTTACCTTCCCGCCGGAGCGGTACCTATTTATCTACTTGCACTTTGACGTGCTTTCAAACTGCTAGGTTGGCAGGAGCTGGGACCGAGCAACGGGAGCTCACCCCGTCGTGGGGATTCAAACTGCCGACCTTCTAGACGTAGAATAAAAGCACACTTTCCAAAGACCATACTTGAGTTAAATGCTTTTTTCTGTAAATGAATAATTTACTAATGCTTCAAAAGAGCAATAAATATTGTTGGCAGTTAGTTATTATCTGGATAACCTTGGCCTATGTTTCTTTAAATTTTCAGATTTTTCCACTGGTCCTGGCATTCAGGGTGCATTGAAGCTGTTCAGTTATTTAATAAAACTGCATAGTTGGATCAAGCTGCTTAACATGTTACAGATAAGTTAGGAGGCAAATTTGAAACGCAAAACAATATTTTGTGTTTCTATATGCCATCTATAAGCAGTATAAAATGTACCAGCTAACTAAACAGCAGAGCAAGACGTGGTTGCCCATGCAGCTGGCTATTTATGCAGTACTTGCCCTGATATTCAAAGCACTTTACTTTCATTATCCTGATAATCTCCCCAACAATCTGTAGGGTCAGACATTACTGCTGGGACTGAGGCAAGGTACTTCCTTGATCATGAGACTCCGCAAACAGGCCAGCACCACCTTTGTTATCTTTCTTTCTTTCTTTCTTTCTTTCTTTCTTTCTTTCTTTCTTTTTTCTTTCTTTTGGTTTAATATTTTTATTAATTTTCACACACAAAAACTAAATCATTACATTAAAGGGGGGGAAATGAGACATTTAAAACAACTGTATACACAATCAATATTAAATCCACATTATGGGATTACTTGTTTTTTTAAAAAAGATATTTATTAAAGTTTTAAACAATGAAACAAACTTCACATTCACAACCAGATAGGAAAAAAGAAAAAACACCATCACAATCAATCAAGAAAACCCCCCAAAAAGAAGAAAAATACAATAAAAAACCCCCCTAAAAAATAGAAGAAAAAAGACATAAAAAAGAGATAAAAAACCAGTTTCTTAGTTATTGTTTTCATAACCCTCCTTCCAGACTCCCTCACATCTCCCTTTTCTGTGTTCCCTTTTACACAATCTTATTCAGCAATGCCACACCTTCTTTCAAATCTTATTTTGTATTATACATTTCAACTATTATGTCTCCAAATTTTCCCTTTATTATCAGTTATTTAAGTTTGACATAATATTATTCTAACTTCACCTTTGTTCTTATAGACCATTTTTTACATACTCCTTTCAACTATGTCACTAATGCCATATTATCCTTATATCCTGCATCATTCTAACATTCATACAATTTGCAATACTTTTGCAAGTAGTCTTTAAATTTCTTCCAGTCCTCTTCCACTAGCTCTTCTCCCAGGTCTCGGATTCTGCCAGTCATTTCTGCCAATTCCATATAGTCTATCAGTTGCATCTGCCATTCTTCCAGAGTGGGCAAATCTTGTGTCTTCCAATGTTTTGCGATAAGTATTCTTGCTGCTGTTACTGCGTACATAAAGAAAGTTCTATCCTTTTTTAACACCATTTGGCCAACAATGCCCAAAAGGAAGGCCTCTGGTTTCTTAGCATTATGGGATTACTTGAATCCCCCGACTTCCTTCCACTCCTTCCCTTGGTTCCTTTGTATTATCTACATTCATGCATGTCAAAAAAAAAAAAATCTTTATCTCTAATTAACTCCAACTTTAAACATTGTCTATAACATTACAAGTGTTTTTAAAAATCCTGCTAACGTATTAACTTGCATACATTGCTTTTGTAAATATGCAATAAACATTTCCCATTCTTTTTTATATTTGTTGTCATCTTGATCGCTAAGTGTCCCAGTTAATTTATCCATTTCCGCATACTCCATTGACTTAGTTTGCCAATCTTCCTTGGTGGGGACAACTTCTTTCCAGTGTTGGGCTAGCAGTATCCGGGCAGCCATTGCTGCATACATGAACAAATTCTTGTATTCTTTACGTAAATCCATTCCTGTAATACCTAATAGGAAAGTTTCTGGTTTTTTAACAAAGGTTATTTTTATTTTTCCCCCAATTCATTATATATCATTTCCCAATTTTTAAAATAACTTTACATTGTCACCACATATGAAAAAACGTACCTTTTACTTCTTTACATTTCCAACACTTACTTTCTCTTGTTTTATACATTTTGGCCAATTTAACCGGTGTTAAATACCATCTATAGATCATGTAATTCTCTTTAAGTAAGGTACAGGCTGTGAATTTTATATCATTCTTCCATAGTCTTTCCCAATCTGTCATCTGAATATTATGTCCCACGTCTTTTACCCACTTTATCGTAACACACTTGACCTCTTCATCCTTAGTTTCCCATTCCATTTTTGATAATAATTTAGTACCACTTTCTATTATTTCTCTCTGGAAATTTGAGATTTCATTGGTGAATCCTTTCTTTTTATCATTTTTGAATACTTCATTTAACTGAAAATATTGTTACCAGTCTGTTACCTTTCCTCTTCTTGAAATTCCTTCAATTTTAATTGGTTATTCATTTCTGTTAACAGCTCTTTATGTTGCCCAATTAGGTTTCATATTTAATTTTTTCACGGATATTGCTTCCAGTGGGGAAAGCCACCATGGTGTTTTTGTTCTAGCAAATCTTTATATTTTTCCCAAACTTTAAAATCGCAATTTTTATTATATGATTCTGGAAGTTTTTATGTACTTTTGCCTTCTGATACCACAAGTACACATGCCATCCAAATTTAGTATCATGTCATTCTAAAACTAATAAATCTGCATTTTTTAAATATTATCTAATTCCGGATCCAGCATATACAAGAAGCTTCATAATATAATTTTAAATCTGGTAAGGAGAAGGCACCTCTTTCCTTAAGATCTGTTAATAATTTATATTTTATCCTTGGCTTCTTTCCTCACCAGATAAATACCTTTGAAATATCCTTCTGCCACTCTTTGAAGCAGCTCACATTGCTTATCACTGGGATTGACTGAAACAGAAATAACATTTCCTTTTTTTAAAAAAAATATTTTTTATTAACCGACCAATCAAATCAAATCACATCACATAAATTCCGAATTACAAAGCCGAATTTTAAATTTTTGTTGGGGGGACCCATATTTCAAGTTCCGAAGGGGGATTTCGATCATCTTCTTGCTGCTGCGTTAATATCCATAAATCTGTCCAAATAATGTTCATAATTCTATCCAGTCTTATCTTATCTTGCTGTTTCCACATCTCATCTTGTTTGTATATTTTTCTTTTTTTCTTTATGATCTCTTCTGATAATCTCCTTAAGCAGGTAAACACCAATTATAATCCTGTGTGAATTTTTCCGTTTGTCCAATCATCATATCAAGATGGTTTCCATATATCATCACTTTCATAAATAACAGCACACTTTCCATCATTAATCTCGCAAATCTGTCGCTCTTTAGTCCCTCTGAGGAGGCTCACCCACAATATGAAAACAAATCTACTCCTCCTCCCAGACACAAGTCTTTCGACAGAACTTGCCAAAATGGCGACGCTATTTTTTGCTGCGTCATTCCAAAGCTCTTATGCTTTCCACGATCTTCTTGAAACATGCTTTGGTTAGAAAATTATCTACTCACAGTCTTAAATCCACAGCTTAAGTCATTTAAATGGCACTTCTGACTTGTGACTTGGGGGGGGGGGATTCTTGGTTAATCACATAGAGAAAAGAAAGGAAAGTTTTTCCCTCTCCCCCATCCAGTCCCGTTGCCGAACATACCAAGCCTTGGTGTGTCTTCTAATGATTTATTCTTGTTCCTCCGACCCGTCTTGTTTCTCAGAGATCTCTTCGGTTAGCAGTCTTTACTCCCCATTCTTCCTTGAAATATGTGCATTAGCTTCCTTCTACTTGTTTCTTTTGAAGTTGCTGCAGCTAGAGGCGCGAATCAGAGACAGCGTCCAGGAGCGCCGAGATCCGCACAAGGGCTTTCTGCCTAGTGCCCCCACCCCCTCAAATTCGGGGGTGGTATAGGGCACAGCAGGCAAGGGCAGTCCCCCCACACACTTGGGGGGGCCGGGAGGCTGTTTACTCCCATCACAGCCTCTTAATTACCTCGTGTGGGTTGGAGAGATGTTATTGTCAGCCATCTTCCGATGTGCCCCTAGTGCCCCCCCCCCGAAATAACATTTCCTACAGGCGCTTGTAAAAGGACTTTACTACTTTAAACATGGTTTTGCAAACATAGTTTTGGGAAGGAGATTGGATGCAAATGCTACAGGAATGTTTGTTTCTTCTTTCCCCAAGGTTCTGAAGAAGATTGCCAAGTACATTCAGGAACAGAATGAGAAGATCTATGCCCCACAGGGCATCCTCCTGACGGACCCCATTGAGAGAGGGCTCAGAGTTGTATCTTTTTCTGTGGCTTCCTAACCTTTTGTGCTCTGGTAGCTCTCATATCTGTTTGTGCCTTTGTGAACCAATAAAACAGCCTGTGGCCATTAAACAAATCATGCTGGGATGAAATTAGTATTTTACTCCAGCTTTTGAGCAAATCTTGTTTTAGCCTTTGTTGTGTAAGCACAGCCCCTTAGCTATCTTCACAATTAGTGTTGGCCTAGGAATTGAGAGATTCGTGCTCCTCACTCAGCCAAAAAGCTCACTAGGTAACCTTGTGCCAGTCACTCAGTCTTGGTCTTAACAGAGTTGTTGTGGGGGGAGTGGGGAAAGAACCTTGGATGAAAGGGTGGGATATGAATGGAACAAATCCCTTTCTTAGGTGTAGAAATCACTTCATACGTAATGATTGCTACTTCCGTTGAGTTTTGCTTGATGGCACATGGGGTGAAGCTGGCAGATAGAACCTTTCCACCAGTGCTGGTTAGGGAGGCTGCTCCAAGCAGAAGAGAAGCATCTCTTGCTTCAGTTTCTGCAGAATTGTAGTTTGCTATGTGAGGCCTGTTATGTTGACACACCAGGAAGTGATGGGGGTGTTCTTCACAGCTTCAGGTGTACAGGCCGGTTTGCCTGGACTCTTCTTAACAGGTGTCAAAGAGTACTGGTTGGGGATCCTTGGAGGTAGGGAACAAGCTTCCTTCTGAGTGTTGCTTATCAGCTATAGCAAAAAGAGCCTTCCAAGAAGTCTTTCCCCCCATTCTGTAGATTTTGCTTCTGACAAGGGCACAGGCAACACGGGCTCTCATTGGGAGGGCAGTAAAGTGCTTTGCAGCCGCCTTTGCCTGTAAGGAGCAGCGTGTTGGCATCTCTCCTCCAGAATTCAAAGTGGGGGTGGGGAAGGGTTTATGCTAGTTCATTAATAGTATAACATTTGGAAAGAAAGAATTTGGCTGAGTCAGACTCATTGGCCCATCTAGCACAGCATTGTCTGCACTGGCTGGCAGCAGCTCTCCAGGCTTTGAGGCAGGGGACATTCCCATGGAGACCTTTGAGGACTGAGCCAGGGGTCTTCTGCAGGCAAAGCACTGAGCTGAGGTCCTTCTCGCCCCTTAAGTGGGGGTGGGGCAATATAAGATTCAGTACTTCGCTATCTTGATGCTTTTACCCACATGCCTCTTCTGCAGTATATTTTTTTTAACAGCCCTGCTGTGCAGATTGAAATTACCATTTATGAAGACAGAGGTGTGAATAGTGGGAGATAAATCCTGAGGTCCAAGGTAAGTGTTAACTGTGATCTGCTTCTCTACAAAAGAAAACCCCACCAAAATAGTTTATTCCAACTGCTCCCACCAAAGAAAATGGTTTCTGCATTTAAAGTTCATGGGAAAAACAACCCTATACTATTGCATTATGATTGTTTCACGTAGCCCTAAATAAGTGAAAATTTTAAAATAATGTTAAACCCCTGGAGAGCTGTTCTAGCAGCAAATGAAGGAACAGAATTGAGAGCCAGTGTGGTGTAGTGGTTAAGAGCAGTAGACGTGTAATCTGGTGAACCGGGTTCACTTCCCCGCTCCTCCACCTGCAGCTGCTGGGTGACCTTGGGCCAGTCACGCTTCTCTGAAGTCTCTCAGCCCCACTCACCTCACAGAGTGTTTGTTGTGGGGGAGGAAGGGAAAGGGGAATGTTAACCGCTTTGAGACTCCTTAAACCCAAACTCTTCTTCTTCTTCTAATGATTCTTCTGGAATTATAGAATAATTAGACTTTTTTTATTTAATCTGATTGAGTATTATCTTCTACCTATCACGTTGAAAAGGAGGAATCAAGATCGGGAGGATGTGGAGGAAAGAAAAGGAGAACAGGGAGACTCACAAAACAGTGATAGCTGGTTTGGAGTAATACTGTTGTAGTCACCAAGAAGATAGAGTGCATATTAAGGTTTTTCTTTGTATGCATGTTGTTTGTTTTCAGGATGCTGGTTCTTGGGTTCTGTCACCTAGTCATCAGTTTTGAATGGAGAGTGAATTTTCCCAACAACCTAGTGGGAAACCAGAATGTAACCAAGCACTGAAGGACAAACAGAAATCCTCAGCCACTTGGCCTGAGGAGGATTTCCTTTTGGACACTTTGTCAGAAATTGCATGTTGCCTTGCAGCTCAGCCCCGCCCCGTCCGCCCCGTCCGCCTTGCTGGAGGGTCTGCACGGAGCAGAAGGGTCCTTCCACCTTGCCCTTGAAGATTCCATTGCCAGTTGTGGGGAAGTTTGAGCAAGGGGCACCCCAGTGGGCGAGTGGAAGCTGCCATGGACAGGATCCAGTCAGCCACTCCCCCCGCCCCCCAAGAAGGTGTCTGATAGGTGGACCCCACCACCAGCCCGAGACTGCAAGGGGCCCCTCTGTTTCTGCCCAGGGGTTAGGATTAGCAGCCTGAGTTTCAATGGCTCAGAAATGGACTGATGATAAGTCTGAGATTGAATAATACTTCCAAGAAATCAACCAATCTACATGTTGTAGATGTGGCACACCCACCTGGTGCAAAGAAAGATGTTAAGAGGTATTTAAGCTGGCTTTAGGACCATTGTTGAATAGCAGGCAACATGGGAAAGCAAGTGACAAGTCTGGTGAATTCACCAACTGGCAATAAAAATGCCATTATCAGGCCAAATAGGTCATTAAAGAGAACACCCTTCAATCTTTCTTGCCAGATTGGTGATTTATAATGCAAGGATCAATTTTTAGTTGATTGGTCAGTGTCCTCTATCAGCTCCTATGCTGATCAGAAAGAAGTTTCACTCATAAGCATGTGCAATTAAGAGTATTCTAGCTTGCCTTAAGTTGTGCATCCTCATTACTTGGGAGAGAAAAGTGGGGTGAAAACCAAATTTGGGAGTTGAAATCTACCCTCTTGTGCAGGCAGCAGCATTATTGAAAGTGAAATTCTAGATCTTTTATCCTGTCACAAGAAGGAGTGTACAGTGGTGCCTCGGGTTACATACGCTTCAGGTTACATACGCTTCAGGTTACAGACTCCGCTAACCCAGAAATACTACCTCAGGTTAAGAACTTTGCTTCAGGATGAGAACAGAAATTGTGCGGCTGCAGCGGGAGGCCCCATTAGCTAAAGTGATGCTTCAGGTTAAGAACAGACCTCCAGAATGAATTAATTTCTTAACCCGGGGTACCACTGTAGTGCTGATGGAAGTAATTAGTTGAAATTACAAGTGATTTTCCCTATAAATATAAAAAGTTTAACCAGAAGTCATTGTTCAAATGATTAACAAAGTGTAGTCCTGCTTATTGCTGCTGCTGCTGCTCTTGTTTCGAAAGCAATTTCTGTTCAGTCTGTTGTTGGCTTCCCTGGAGGAAAATGTTGGCCCCTGACACCCTTTGGCTGCAGTATGACTGTTGCTGGTGAGCTTAAGAATAGTGCAGCTAGTCCATTGGAAGGTCCTGCTAATCCCTGAACTCTTGAGAGGAAGCTGTCACGTTAGGCTCTCGTTTTCTGTGGCTGTAATACACCCTCCTCCCTCCACGCCGGCTGCGTTTACTGCCACATCTGTTTGGCACCCTCCATTAGATATGGCTCATTTGACAGTTGCTAGTGCTTTCCAGAATAGTTGTGGGGATTTTGAGCAATTACATACACAAAGGACCTATGTTATTGGTGTTCAAGCCACTGTGAAATTTCGAAACCTAAGGCACATAGACTGATAGTACATTTCTGAATAGCTTCATTAACTGCAAGTGTGTTTTATTTAGCATGATGATTTGAAGCTCTCCAGTAATGTTGAGGTAGAAAAGGAGCTTTGTAGATTCTCTGGCTGCCAAAATTGTCCTTTGGTCACCTTCCTCTTCCAGCCATCTGAGGTTGGCTTCCTGTCCACGGCATTCGTCCAGAATGGTCCACAGCTGTTGAACATACACAGCAAGGATGCCATGGGGACCCTCATGACATAGGCACTCAACCACCCCTTTGGAAATTGGCATTTGAGTGCCTGATGCTCATCAGAATGACACAGAGCTGGTACTTTATTTATTTAGTGCAGCGAGGCTCCTCACGGGGTCTCTGCCATGGGAGCATATTCACCCAGTGCTTTTCAAGCTGCACTGGCTCCCGGTGGAGTACAGGGTCAGATTTAAGGTGCTGCTTTTGACCTTTAAAGCCCTTCACGGCCTAGGACCCTCGTACCTACGGGACCGCCTCTCCTGGTATGCCCCACGGAGAGCCTCAAGGTCCATAAATAACAACACCCTAGTGGTCCCGGGCCCTAAGGAAGTTAGATTAGCCTCAACCACAGCCAGGGCCTTTTCAACTCTGGCCCCGGCCTGGTGGAACGCTCTGCCTCGTGAGACCATAGCCCTGCAGGATCTGATTTCTTTCCGCAGGGCCTGTAAGACAGAGTTGTTCCGCCTGGCCTTTGGCTTGGAGCCAATTTGATTCCCTCCCTCCCTCTCTTTCTTTTTTCTTTTCCTTCTCCTCCTGCGATGAGGCTACATTTTAATATTTTAATGTTCCATTATTTTAAAGTTGTATTTTATTTTTGTTTTTAAGTTGTAATCATTCATCTTGTTTTTATTATTGCTTGTAAGCCGCTCTGAGCCCGGCCGTGGCTGGGGAGGGCGGGGTATAAATAAAAATTATTATTATTATTATTATTATTATTATTATTATTATTATTATTCTTTTATAAATAACCTCCAGCCAATCAGAGTCTGCTGTCACCCAGGCCAGTCAGATGGACTTCACCTGATGCAGGCCACATGTAATAAAACCTTAAAGCAATTGCCCCTCTCTCTCCTCTGTCAGAACCACTGCTCCACAGGTTTGCAACACTGGTAACAGTACAAGGCTTCAAACCTTTAAAGTCACTGAAAATTTTACCTTCAAAACACAAACATATCTGAGAGGAAAGTGCATCAATGTTTTAATCTGTTTAACTCAGCTCTCTTTCTTCCTAGGTTCCAGCTTTTGTTCCAGAAAGTTCCCCTACCTCCTCCATCATAACATCATTCCTTTCTTCTGCCGCCAACCCCATGGTGCCATCTACCACAAAGACTTAACTTCTCAAAATCCTACTCCTTCACAGCAAAATCCCATGGACAGGATAGCATCCATTTTGTGTCATATGGGTAAGCCAAAAGCAATGGCGTCTGCCTGGTAGCTTTAGCTTCCAAGGACCAGTTGAGCAGCCATACGAGTCACTGGGCACAAGACCAGACTGGAGTCTGCTAAGTGCTGAGTGGCTCCTTTTGCAAGCGCTCGGATTTTGTCAGCTGTTCGGGAAGAAAGCAGCAGTGCGGCATAGGCAGCTGAATCTTCAGAAATGAGGCCCATGTTTGTGAAGTGGCAGCAGGGTGTTTCTCTGCTTGTTCAGAGGAGACTTGGAACAAATACCATCTTGAGTTGAAGCCTCCTGTGGTGGTAACAGCAACCATGCAAAAAGGGTTTCATTTTTAACACTTCACCAAGAGCTAGTGCAGTCTTCGGGACACGAAGTCCTCTGCTTTCACTGTGTCTTTCAAGAGAGGAGAAGGTCAATGGTTTGTTTCGTTCAATGCGTGGAAGCGCGGCAGCCCAAATGTATGCTGTGCCAGTCAGTGTAACCGCCCTCTGCTCTCTCCATCCCTTTTCAAGTGTTGAATATGTGAGCTAGGTAATAAATGGCTTTTTCAGTTTTGTTAGCAGTTAAAAGGTTTTAGGGCAAGCTGGTAACTTGACTAGAAATGGTGTTATGATAGCGCTTTGTTTTAGATCTCTCTCACACAGTGTGCAACTCAGCAGCCTGTAGTACTTTCACTTGCATTCAACATTCCTCTAGCAACACTTACAAAATATATAGAAGATTTTAGTCTTCTGAGTTGATACCTTCTTATGGATCAAATGTTTTTCTCTGTTCATCCAAGTGGGCCCTTGAGTAGAGGCCAGCAAGAGTCGCTCAGCCGCTTGACAGTTGCTGTCACCTCCCATGTCCAGGAATTCAAGGCTTTGCCAAACGAGACCACCTACAAAACGGACCACCTACAAAAAATTTCACTTCTTGAGCGATTCAAAAAGCCAGTAGTGAATCAGGGTCTTTAGGTGGATTATTCTTCAGTACCTATTTGCTGGTTTCTTTATCCTTTCCTCTAGAAGTCTGTTTAATATTTAAGTGTACAAAACACCTGTTGTTGTTTTTCTAAACTGTAACAGTGTTCTGCCTTTTGCACCCGTTACAATCAGTTTTGAGAAATATTAATGGATTGGTAACTTTTTTTCTTAAATAAATTTTGTCATTTGCTAGCACTGATCTGAATTTGGGTTTATTTTCTTCCAAGAAAGTTAAACCAATGACATTTGGGGGGAATTGAAGATCCCCTCTGCTACTCAGCCTGCCCATGGCCTTATTTGTATGTATACATTAACTTGCATGTTACAGGTATATTTGTGGAGACACATTTTTGGGGGATCTTTAATGTGAATATTATTGCACACCAAGGAAATCATTGCACTGCACTTATACATCCTCAGTTATTTGGAGGAATTAACATAAGACAGAATCCCAATGTCAATTCAAATAAAATATTTTTATTTATTTGCAGCCAGAATGGTGTGCAGTGAGTAAAACGCCTTTGCTTCTTGAAGCTCTGGATTGCAGCATTAGAGGACAGAAACATGGCTAATGATTGCAAGAAAATACCTAACCCCATATTGATTGGGCCAATAGCTTACACTTCCCTTTTTTACTATGGTAAAGAGGAGACCGGCTTCCCTCATAACTTAGTACCTTCCAGGTGTTTAGGACAACAACTCACTCTGGATTGTACCTATGGGTCCCTTCCAAACTTGTGATCCTGCATGTGTGAAGTTGGAATCTTTTGAGAGGAAACCATTATTGAACTGATCTCACAGCCTTGTCACACAAAAGTTTGCCCCCTACTTAGTTTTTTTTATTTCAGCTAGCTATTTCAGATGGAAAAAGTTGTTTTGCTTATGCACAATGAGTTGGAATTGGTTTCTGCTTTCCTGCAAATCAGCCAGAGATCTCCTGGTAGATCCCAAGCTATTTTCTGTGCCCCAACCTGTCCTATTGTACAGCAGATTTTCTAGTTCTGACAACACAGCATGAGATGGGAGTTAAGATAAGGTTACCAGATTTTTTTCAATGAATCCGGGGACACTTTAAATAAAATAAATAAATACTATGTTTGGGACATTGATGCTGCAGCAATGGCGGTGGTAGAGGGGCGGCCGCCACCCTGACCTCAACTGCCACGTTTCCCCTTCCTCTGAGGCTTCTATCTCCTCTCTCCATGAGCCTGGGCAGCCCCTGAGTTGTTGGTTCTTTCGGTGGTGGTGGGGAATGGAATGTGAAAGGCAAAGGAGGGCCGAAGGCTTGGGCAGCGCGATGCCTCTCTTCCCATCGGAGCAGCCCCAATCCCATTCCTGCTTGCACGCAAGCTCTGATGGGCAGCGTGAAGTCCTCCCTTCCCAGCTGAGTTGCTGGGGTCGCAGCCCAGAAGGCTGCATCTTTGAGCCCCTGCACCACCATCATATGGGGACCTCCGAGCAGCTCCTGAAGCCAGCCAGAGCCAACTGCTCCGGGCTGCTGAGACTGCGTTTCCCGGGGATGTTTGATGAAATCCGGGGACATTCTGGGGATGGAATTTGCCTGGGGACTTATTCCAGGGACTGTCCCCGGGAAACTGGGACATCTGGTAACCCTAAGTTAAAAGGTGCTGCTGGGTGTTCTCTCCCCATCCCGCCCTAGGGCAGTGACTCTTCAACTTATTTCTCTGAGCCACACTTTCAGGATACAAATTTGTTCGCCTTTTTGTTTTAATTGATAAACAATACCCAGGAAAACGAAAAAGACACCCCTCCCAGCTGCCATTTCTAAGGCAGAAGCAACTACTTTAGAATAGGCTCGAGGGACAACGCTGCTGCTGCTTCATTCCTTCCTGATCCCGTGAAGCAAGCCATCCTCTGCCCAGGCTCTCGTCGTCTTATCTGCCGGTGAATTAATTAACTGAGTAATTCATGTGTCAACGTTTCTTGGGCGGCCCTTGAATCTTCGCGCTCGCCCGGCAGGCTCGGGGTCCCGCTGCCGGGAGGAAGGGCCGGGCGGCGGCGGCGGCGGCGGCGGCGCCTTGAAGAGGCCTCCTGGTCCGGGGCGGGGCGCTCCGGCTTTTCCCGCGCGGCGCCATGGCGGACTCGGGCGAGGAGGTGCTGCTGACCCCGGCGGAGCTGCTCCGGAGCCTGGAGCAGGTGGGAGAGGCGCGGGCGCCTGGGTCCCGGGGCGGGGGGGGGCGGGGGCGGGCTGGCTTTGCCCGCGAGGGGGCTGCGGGGGCCCGGGCGCCGCCGAGGCCGCATTCCCTGTCGGGGCGGCGGGGCCTCGGCCCGAGCGGGGACCCCCTGGCCAAGGGCGGCCTGGATTTCCGCGGCCAAGCGGGCGCCTCCGCGGGCTCCCCGTCCTTTCGCGAGATTTACAGGGGCCAGAGCCGCTGAGTGCGGGGTCGGCGGGGTGCCCAGTGGTGATGCACCCGAAACGCTCATTGCTGGTATGCTACTAAAGCAACAAAACCCGCAAAGTGGTTTAGATAAAACCATGTCCGTGAGCTTATATAGCATATGTTACTTGTTATTTGCTAAAGTTCTATATCCAGAGACCTCAGGGTGGTTCACAGCTCAAAAACACAAGATAAAACCCCAAAAGACAGAAGGAGAAACAAGAACAAAAGCAGAGGAAACCAATGACACCCCCCAGCCTCTCCCACAAATCCATTGAAAAGCATGACTTAAATTTGCATCTGTGTGCATAGATAACCATATGCAAATTTGCGCCGCAGTCTTGTAAGGTGTTATAAAAGAGGCTGGGAAAATTGGTACCACCACCGCAATTCCCATTGGCTGTTTCTGCTCTCCAGGCCTGGATGAATGAGAAGTTTTCCCCCGAGCTGCTGGAGAGCAAGTCAGAAGTGGTGGACTGTGTGGTCGAGCAACTGGAGCACATGGTAACATGTGGGGCGGATGGGAGGGACCTTAACTCTGTTTGTTTGGAAAAAGCCATGCCCAGATGAACGCTTAAGGCAGGCGTGGCTAACCCTTTGAGGGCCGAGGCCACATGGACCCGCAGGCAGGCAGCCAGCCTTCTGGGGGCCACATGTAAAATTGACTTTGGTCAATCTAAAAGAGGGTGCCATTACATTTTGGGGAAAGGCTGTAGCCCTAAAGCAGAGCATCTTATTTGCATGCAGAGTCTGGTCCCAGGTTCGGTCCTCAAAGGCATCACAGGTAGTATTCCCTGTCTGAAACCCTGGAGAGCCATTGTCAGTCACTGGACACAATACAGAACAAGGCAGTATGCATCAATGGTTAGAGTCTGTATAAGGCCGGTAAATTCCTTTGGCATTGCAGAATCAGAGCAGGAGGCATGGGAATGCTCAGCCAAAAAAAAAAAAAAAGGCCCTTTAAAATGGACAGATATTGGGGGCTACAATGACCTTTTGGTGGGCATCGGGTTCCTGTATAAAGAAATAATTTACTTTATGCATAGAGAGAGATGTATGTCTCATGCTTGCATAAGTTTTTCAAACGGGAAAGTTAGGTGGGTGGGTGGGTGGGTAGGTGTACAGCACCAGAAACATTTCTCGTCATAGTGAGGAACCTATGGAAGCAATCGGGTTTGTTTGTTTTTTAAAAAAGTAATTGCAGGCGGCGACAATTTTGCATGCATCCAGTTGGCACACAACTGCCAGCATGTGGGTAGAAGAGGGCAGAACAGGGGCAAGGTGAGTGGCCAATTGCATACTCCGCCGACGCACAGGGGGCCAGGAACGGTGGCCGCCTGTATTACTTTTTTAAAAAAATTGCACGGGGTCAGCACAAAATTTCTATGGCCTCACAGTGGGAAGGCCCATAAGAGCTATTTTTAAAAAATCTTTTTGTAATTGACGCATTACAGGAGGTCTCATGGGGGCCAGTACATAACCTTAGAGAGGGACTGTACATAACCTTCAGGCTATGGGTTAGCTGCCCTTCCTTAAGGGTGAATGTCTTGATTCACTATCCCCATGTTAGGGAGTCTGTGTCTTACTTTGAAGGAGGCACACTGCATCACACTGTGGTGTGACCAAGGAATGGGAACAGCTGGAGGCTGGGCATCAATTTCTCCCCCTGCGTCCTTCCATGGGAGCAAATGTCGCAGCTGCGCAGACGAAAGGGTTTGGCCGACTGTGCCTTCTTCCTCGGTGCAGAACTTCTGGTTTTGTGTGTGTGACAGGAGGCGAATCTGAAACGGGCCGAGAGAGGTGATCTCAAGGTCAGCATTCACCGCATGGAGGTCGAGAGGATCCGTTACATCCTCAGCAGCTACCTGCGCTGCCGCCTACGGAAGGTAAGGGCCAGCAGCATTTTGCTTAGAGGTGCTGCTCTCTGCTCTAAATCGGTGAGTCGCTGTGAGCGTGATTTCCATGCAGAGGTCACATGTCACATCAACTTTCTTGGTGTGTCTTCTGCTACCTGTTGTACAGCTTAGTAAGGTAGAGAATGATCTCCCATATTTTCAGCCAGAATTGGCAAGTGCTTCCAGCCTCCCTTCCAGAGGGAGTGTGCAGGGAGGCTAAAGGGCTGTGGAGGGCTAGCCTTGGTAACCTCTGATCAACTGCTGCAATATGTTATGCACGGGATAGCCTTTGAAGAATATTTGGAAACCTTTGCTGGTCCTCAGAAGAGGAATCGTGTGTGTGTACAGCAGTAGCAATAAAATGAGGGGCAGAGCTCATGGGCAGAGAGTAGGCCTTGCTTGCAAGAGGTCCCAGGTTCCTTTCTCTATTATTGCCATGTCCAAGTCTGTTGCAGCGTGTAGCCCGCTTAGCAGTTCTTACGCCACTTATTTCCACTTGCAGATTGAGAAATACTTTCCCCATGTCCTGGAGAAGGAGAAGACTCGGGCAGAGGGGGAGCCAGCCCTCCTATCACCGGAAGAGTTTGCCTTTGCCAAAGAGTGAGTGAGTGAGTGGGCCATGGGGAGGCAGGAAGGTGAAAGCAACGGGTGGCTCTCGCCCCTCATTTCTGTGTTCTTAATTTCAGTTGCATTGTGCATCTTCCAGGGGGCCTGGACTAGCTGCCAAAAAATTAACATACAGACACAAAACTAGGGTTGCCAACTGATCAGAAAGAAAGGCTGGCCGGCTCCTGTGCCTTTAACAACAGCATGCTCTATAGTGGCAGGGGGAGGGGGCCACATTCCCTCATAGATGACCTTCCAGTGGTGGAAGCTCATGTGAATACCATTGGCGGAATCCAA